TGAGGCTGTAGCCATCTAACAGCCAATTTTTTCTTCATACTTTTTTCATAATTCATAAATATATATGCGAGTTTTCATATGATATTTGATGAAACGAGTGTTTCTTTAGAAGTTTTTAATTTTACGAGGAAACAAATAGACTTCGGGACGAGTTTCATTAGATTTCATATAAAGTGAAAAGAAATTTACTTTTATTACACAATTTAGAAAGAAAGGTTACAGTTGAAAGTTTTAAAATACATGGACAGGTCTCCACCAAGCGTGAGGATTTTAATTTTCCTATTATAAATGTTCCATTTCTGGATAGCAAGCCCTCCTGCATCCCCACCTTATGGTATTCAAAAGTCGCCTGTTCCCATTATCGCGATTTTCGTGGAAGAAGTCAACTGACGGACAAACTCTTAACACAGGGTTTCGAAAGATGCACGTTGATAAAAAAAAATATGGGGAAGTTTTACGGTTGTCATGGTGATCTCATTGACAAACATTCTATTTCTCTTTGCGATATAAAGTTGACGATGTTTGATGCTCATTAGGTCGCCTGTTGATTCCGTTGGCTTGACATCGATGTATCACAAGACTCTTACTCTCCAGGACACCTGGTCTTATTATTCTTTTACGTTATATTTTCAGAATACAATTATGTTGATTTGTTGGTATTTTCTTGTTGTTTATTGTTAAGTAAGATCCTTTATCACAGAACTGCCCTGTTGTGTCATGTCATACACTCATGTCACAAATATCATAAAAAACACACGTTTGATAAAACTTTTGTGACGTAATGAATAAGTCAAGTTTTTATGTCGTCATATGATTGTCTCGGTAGCGAAAAATGTACCATTCAAGACAATGTCTTGTAGGAAAAATTACTCGAGAGTTTTCGCTTATTTTTCATAAATACAGAATATATGATAAACAGAATCTAACACTCTCATCCATGTTATATGGAATTTATCAAACGCATGAAGGCTCCTAAGCTCTTTTGATATATCCAATATTACCTCGGCACTAATGTTAGATCCTCACGATGGTGTGTTTATCAACATAAATATTTATATGTAAACATTGTGTGGCACGATTATATGTTTAATATAATTAATAGATATATGTAAACATTGTGGGGTACGACCATATGTTTCTCATAAGAACTATTTCTACGTAAACATTGCGGGACACGATCATATGTACAATATTATTAGTCTTTATTAGTAAATATTGTATAGTGCATTTGGACAGATATGTGCCAAAAGACTTTAACATTGATATTGTGTCAATATTTTCGTGAGAGTTAAGTTTTTTTCGTATCATGAAGATGCTACTTATAAGCCAGAGCGTGAACGTTAGTCAGATTTTCTGTGATTCATCACTAGACACCTTATTGGATTCTTCATGACTGTTGCTATGTAAATGCACAGTTATCCGATCCTAGTGCATTGTGATAGCTTTAAATAATCACCTGTTTATACCTGTATGTAATGTTACAGACTGAAGGTCGACGATACTCAGTAACAGTGCAAGGTGATAACAAGATTGTCTGGAATGCTTACAAGCAATCGTTACACAATAACTCAGTCTATTCGTGTCTCTCATGACCGAATAATGTTAAAAATAATTTTTGAACCAATATTGAAAAGATACACTTCTTAATTTAATATTTTTTGACAACATTGAAATAAAAGAATTAAACATTCGCAGTTTCATAAAAAATTTAAGAGAAGCAGAATGTTTTCTCTGATTTTCTGTATTTACACAGTATTGATCTTCTGTATTTTCTTTGAAAATAGCAAAATATGGAATTTGTCCTGTCCTGTCCTTGCGGTCCTTTCATATACATGATAGATGTTAAATGTATGATAGCATATTCAGAAGGTGAAAGTGATACTGAACATACAAAAAAAGGACTTACAGGTGATACATTTTCTGCCATTATGCCATTTTTTCGGTACTAGCACCATTTCTCCTTCGATTGATAGGTGTAACCGTTAATAGATATTAGTACAGTTGTTAAGTAGACCAGAACTCTAAAATTGAAGTTGATTCATCACGCGATAAAGTTTTGTATTCATTTATTTTGACAACGACTGTATATTAATATACATGCACAAAATGTCAACAACAGTACAAATATAATTCTGTAACGAAAATAAGACTACTTTACAAACGCACAATTTCTCCCATGGAAATAGAAATTGAGACAGCAAGTTTGGACAGGCCTTGGCACAAACGACACACAAGTGAATATCACCTTTAATATAAATTCAGTTACAAACACTAAAGTCACACAACTAATTTGACTACACCATACAGCTGTTTCGTCTTATTATAACTCGTCAGTGATGTTACAGGTATAGATTTTGAAGACTATGAGGTAGTCCAGTGTGATCGAAAGAAAAGACAAAGTCTAGACTGTGATGTGCATTAGCTCCTTAATTAAATAAATTTAGTACTTTTTACATATCAGATAATATTGTAATAAAATATATATTTAGATCGTTATTGGCTATATCTAAATCCAGTTATAAATAAATGACTAGTATAATTGTATAATATTGTAGGTATTAGGTTTGTTTATATGTTATATACGGTTGTCTGGAAAGAAAATTGCTGTCTGGACCTAAATAACTTTGGTAGACATTGCCATCCATTTAGGGGGAAGAGTCTATTATGGTCTACAGCGGTGAAAGGTTGCATGAATAGGTATGGGATATGAACATACTGTGTGTGCATGAGGGTGAGTTGTTATGACACCTGACTAAGAACATATGCCATATGATTGGTCAGGGCAGGTGCCTTAGTTTATTTGTGTAGGGGCTCCGGCCACCTTGGGCACTTTGCTCTTGACCAGTGACGTAAAAGACTTTTTAAATTTGAGAGAAGTCAAGTATTCATTTGGTAAGTTTGTTTTACTCAATTCGTTTAATTTTTTTTTTGGATTTTTATTACTTCTGAAAGTTATTATAAAATTTTATTTTAAACAAGATTGAGTAATTTCAAGAAGAAAGAGAAATTGAGTCTGTAAAGATTTAAAAATATTTTTTGATTAAATTCTATTTCTTTGTACATTACATTATATTCATAAGGTTTCAGGTATTTATGAGATAAATTTTTATTACTTTAGTGAAAAGCTGTTGGTTGAATTACCCAGAATACCTGCATGGAGGGAAATTGAAAGAAACCTCCACACCACAGCTTTGGGCGAGTGTCTGAAAGGTCCAGAATGTTTCAGCTATGTGTTTTAACTAATTCCTTTACTAGAATTTTAGTAAGGTATATTTGATAGGGTAGAATATATCTGTTATATTAAAGCAGATATCGACAGAGTTATTGCCCTTCTACTATACCAAATATGCAAGTGTGTTAAGTATGATTGTTTGTGTGTAAGGCTTATGTGCTGTTTTTGTTTTGTTAACTGGGTTTGTTGTTTTAAAATCAAGAAATGAACATGAAAAGAATTAGGTTTTGTAACAACTGAATACCGGTAACATTAGAGCAAGGTCAAGTATATGTGTATATCATGTAGATATAAATGATATACTACTTTACAAGCTTGAATGATGTTGGTGTATTCTGTTGCTTGTACAAATGTACCTGATTAAAAATACTGTTTTGCAACGATTCACAACAAATTAATAAAGTCGATATCAGAAGACGAATAATTCCGACCAAACTTGAAGGCCGATTTTAGAATATCTTTATTTTATAAAAAGTGTACAAATAACATATATAATATACAAGATGTAAGTTAGTACAATTAAAAAATAATACCATTGTAAAGCACGGCTTGACCTTTTCACCCTTTGCAGATAACGTCTGTCGTAACATGACAGTTAATTTTTATGATGTCTTAAAATGCTTAGATACAACCGTTTCTTCATGAGTTTCTCATTAACGGCAAATATAAAAATTAATTATTTATATAGATGTATATGTATGTACACTGTAGATATGAAATAAGTAAATTTAACTGTAGAAGAAATATGAAACAAATAAATACGAACATATATATGTGTAGTAGTTAACAGAACTACACAACAAAACGGTGTGCATGCTTAATCATTTTGTGGACCAGGAAATCGGGAAAAAATAGAATTATTTTTACAGAAATTGTTCAAAGTGAGGACATGTCATTTTGATCTATATCAAGTCTATACAAGGCTATACATTTTACCTATACCGAAAAACAGAACATATATGTAATAATGTATATGTATATAATGTATATTATGTAAACAACTCCAAACCACATCTGGAACAAAACCGGAGACAGATAAAAACGTCAAGATAATCTTATTATTAAACTAATATATATTCTATACAGTATGTACTTAATCCGCATTGATCTACTTGTTTTAGAAATCCATTAAGTGGATGAAGGATTTTTGTCTCCAGAACACTCACAAGTACTCTTAGTATACTGTATTTTTTCATCAGATATAGAAAACAATATCTCGTATTCATATTTAGTTTTGAAAACCCCAAACAATACTAGAACTTGGTATATATGTCACACACTTTGACATCATTAGATACATGATCAAACAGAGGATCAAACGGAATGTTCATGACAACATCCAATAATAAATATAGCCAGAATTTAAGGAGATGTTTATCTACAACACAAACAGCAAATGTTTCATTCATCAATCCACAATTTGCACTCTTTGCTCGATTAAAGAAATAAGTTTTAAATAAATTTTTAAAAAATAGATAAATACATATGATTAAATATCGTTGTTTGTGTTGAAGGTAAACACAAAACACAGACCTCAGTTCCACAACATATACATATTTCTGTTTCTTAGGTTACGTTGCATAAAATTTGTGTTAGTATCCAACATTCATTACAAAAGGTTAAATTGTAATATTAAAGTTATTTGTTATGTATCTAGTTAACAAGTAATCGCCAAATTCCGTGTATGTAATATTATTTGTAATTTCCTTGACAGATATATATATATATATATATATATATATATATATAATATTTACGAAATCTTCCTTATTTCTCCAATGTTTAATTAATAAACATTGTTGTTTGAAAGTAGATCAATTTCTTTGATATAAGACATGTTAAATGACCTTGACATTGCATCTAAAATCATAGTATGTTATGAAATTTACTGCCATATCAAACTTTTCACAAAAAAGATTTGTGGGATGATTGTTTCACATAAGATTTTCATTTGAAACGATACCTTTATTCACGGTAATGATGAAACAACAAATATTTGCTGAATTTTTTTTTATCAAAATCATCAAACCGACTGGCGGAGAGGCAACTGTATCTCAGAGTGTGATAATTCCTCACCAATTAGCACTGCTTATGTGAAAATTTCTTTCTAAAAGTATTTTTGTGATTTTTGAAAGCCCTCCTTTCTTTATCTGAAACACTTAATCATCATACGGTCAACTTTTATCTAATATCAGGGTCTTCATAAGTAAATTATTTGAATGGATCCATTTTCTTTAAAAACCAACGCATTTCCAAGTGCTAGATATTATCATATCAGATGTTTTGCTTGATAATATAGAATATCAGTTACATAACGTACTTGCATTCAGGTTAAAGAGTTAGCGACATTTTCTGTTGTGGAAACTGAAAACATATCGGAGTACGATGTTATAGAAGAAGGGCCTTTACCAACACTCCATATGATAGGCGAATAAAACTCGTCTTCCCTGTAGAGTATTTTTTTACCTGTTTCTAATGACAAAGTCGTCTCTTGCCGTTTTAGATAGGTCTTTGTAACTGCTATTAGCTCGCTATTTGATCTGACTATAGTGTTTGAATTTGAAGATCTTTGTTCAGCCAAATACTCGTCCATTAGGTTTCTTTGCGCAGTTGGAGATTTATTTTCACATTTGGAAGATGAATATCTTCTTTTCACAAATATCATGCGAATATATACACTTAACGAAAGACTTAAAACGCAAAGTGTTAACACAATGCATACCACAGAAATAAGTTCATAATAGTCACCTTCGAAAAGCCCAGTTGAGACAAGTGAATTCATTTCAACCTCATCCGACACACTTTTAACAGTTGAATTAAGATCTGAAAATGAAATAACAAAGACTTTAGGATATATTTAAATGGTTCATACCAATTATTTCAATATTTCAAACTTGTGATCGCTATGAAAGATAATATTTTCATCTTTAAAGTTATCACATGTTTAGCTACACAGATGAAGCAAAATCGACAACAAAATCCGTACTGCGACCGGTACATTTGTGTCAACCATATGTTCAAGCATATATATGATATCTCATAGAATATGTTTTTTTTTTTTTTTTGTTACAGAATATAACCATGAGTGCTATTATTAATAGTCTAAGAAAAAATCATTAGCAATTGACTGATAGGTAAAAGAGACTCCCTCATAGCTCAATTATGAAAATGAACAGAATCCGTTCTGACCAATTTTGTTGACACAGGTAGTGTTACTAGTGATATTATTACATCATCATTGAATCCGTCTTTCCTTTTCCCACTGTTCAATATTCCCTAGCCGTTTTCAAAAACATTAAAAGTTATGACAAAGTTTTGCAAAGTTTGGCCTCACAGAAGTTTTCTACCATATGACAAAACCAATTAAACTATTTCGCTTAAAACACAGCATGTAGTCACTGTAGTCATGTTATGTGTCTTGAAAATCGTTTTCCCTATCAGTATATGACTATATGTGTTTGTGTCGCTGAATCTTTACGGGTAGAACTTTCCCTGAATTTTATTTTTGGAAACATTTGACAGTGAAAACAAACATCACTGGTTTTATGGGATAAATTCATCAGTAGCATTTGTTTAGAAAACAAGAATGGCGCAGAAGTTGGGTGGATATTTTACCTGTATTGTTGCTGTATTCCAAGAACCTGGCGGCAGAGGGCATACATATCCTGGATTGATCAGGGTTCCGTGTACGGCATTCGTCTACGATAATGACGTCAGAGTAACTTCCATTCACATCCGGATAACAATACGAACATAGGACACATTCACCCGAGCTCACCAATCGGAACATTCCTGTTAAGTAAAAGTATACGGTACAGTCACCCGTGCTCACCATTCGGAACATTCCTGTAAGTAAAAGTATAGGGCACATTTACCCGAGCTCACCATTCGGAACATTCCTATAAGTAAAAGTATATGGTACATTTACCCGTGCTCACCAATCGGAACATTCCTGTAAGTAAAAATATACAGCACATTCACCCGTGCTCACCTTTCGAAACATTCCTGTAAGTAAAAACATAGTATACATTCACCCGTACTCACCAATCGGAACATTCCTGTAAGTAAAAGTATAGGGTACATTCACCCGAGCTCACCATTCGGAACATTCCTGTAAGTAAAAGTATATGGTACATTTACCCGTGCTCACCAATCGGAACATTCCTGTAAGTAAAAGTATAGGGTACATTCACCCGAGCTCACCATTCGGAACATTCCTGTACGTAAAAGTATAGGGCACATTTTACCCGTGCTCACCAATCGGAACATTCCTGTAAGTAAAAATATAGGGTACATTCACCCGAGCTCACCATTCGGAACATTCCTGTGAGTAAAAATATAGGGCAAATTCACCCGTTAGAAAACCAACATATAAAATATGTTTAATTAAGTCTTGGTATCGATTTTATATAAAAATTAGTGGGATGGCCATGCACATAGCATACAGTGAGGTACCTTTAAATACACGGGGAAGACACAACAGAACGTACATTATCACTCAATTGTTTACATATCAACAGTGACGCTAAATCAACTTTCCTTATTTCTCTGTTCGCTGACATAAAAAGACTTTTTAGTTTTAGGTTAGCTCCCTTTATTTGACAAATCTCTTTCAGCTTCCCACCAAATAAACTTTCTGTATTACGTATAATAAGTAATTAATGATTCAGAGTGTGTCGTCATGAACAAAGAGATGGTTTCAGGAAAGCCTAAACAAATAAACGATTGTTGACTCTAGGATATTCAAAAAGGTTTCTCCCACTATACAGGTTATTGCCTAGCGACCTGACGAGATGAGAGAAGGAAGTAATTTCAAATGAAAATACTGACACGGTTTAATACACATGTACTCGGCGTTAAGGACACGACATCCTATGATGAACCGCTTGTCTCGAACATTTCCTATAACGAAACCAACATGTACAGCTTTCCTCCAAGCTGTCTGATAAGCGTGATGATTTCAAAATTTCCAATTTCTTGATAATGACATTCATGTATCCCCAACCTATGATTAACATTGATTTGATATTTAAGGGCCTATTCCCATTATCATGATTTTCGTGCAATAAGTCATCAACTGACTGGCAAACAAATTAATAAAAATTATGGAGATGTTTTATGGTTTTCATATAGATCTCATTGAGAAATATTCTGCGGAATAAAACTGGAGGTCTTTGATGCTCGTTAGTTTGCCTGTTAGTTCCGCCGTTTTATACCTACCTTGTTCTCTTTGAGAATGTGACCGTTTAAATAGTTTTTACAATAAGAATATGTCTAGTCCTGGTAAGTCGATTTCATTCTTAAGAACAATGTTTGTAGAAGCAAATAAGCAGTTGCATTTAAATTGAAGCATAAAGAAAATACCTTCGATGGACATGATTAAGTAACACAATGATTCCGTGTCCATGGTAAAATCACAGGTAAATCCGAGTAGTTGTGTGGATATCGCTTAATTACATATAATAACAGTCGTTGGACATCATTTAGTTCAGGTAAAACTGATCCATTCTGATCACAACCTTCTATGGACATTATTTATTTTAGGTAAAGCTGGACCGTTCTAATAACAACCTTCTATGGAAATCATTTAGTTTAGGTAAAACTGAGCCGTTCTAATCACAACCTTCTATGGACATTATTTAGTTTAGGGTAAGCTGAGACGTTCTGATCACAACCTTCTATGGACATTATTTAGTTTAGGGTACGCTGATCCATTCTGATCACAACTTTCTATGGACATTATTTAGTTTAGGTAAAGCTGAACCGTTCTAGGCACAACCTTCTATGGACATTATTTAGTTTAGGGTAAGCTGAGACGTTCTGATCACAACCTTCTATGGACATTATTTAGTTTAGGGTACGCTTATCCATTCTGATCACAACCTTCTATGGACATTATTTAGTTTAGGGTAAGCTGAGACGTTCTGATCACAACCTTCTATGGACATTATTTAGTTTATGGTACGCTGATCCATTCTGATTACAACCTTCTATGGACATTATTTAGTTTAGGGTAAGCTGAGACGTTCTGATCACAACCTTCTATGGACATTATTTAGTTTAGGATACGCTTATCCATTGTGATAACAACCTTCTATGGACATTATTTAGTTTAGGGTAAGCTGAGACGTTCTGATCACAACATACTATGGACATTATTTAGTTTAGGGTACGCTGAGACGTTCTGATCACAACCTTCTATGGACATTATTTAGTTTAGGGTAAGCTGAGACGTTCTGATCACAACCTTCTATGGACATTATTTAGTTTAGGGTACGCTGAGACGTTCTGATCACAACCTTCTATGGACATTATTTAGTTTAGGGTAAGCTAAGACGTTCTGATCACAACCTTCTATGGACATTATCTAGTTTAGGGTAAGCTAAGACGTTCTGATCACAACCTTCTATGGACATTATTTAGTTTAGGGTACGCTGATCCATTCTGATTACAACCTTCTATGGACATTATTTAGTTTAGGGTAAGCTGAGACGTTCTGATCACAACCTTCTATGGACATTATTTAGTTTAGGGTACGCTGAGACGTTCTTTCTGATCACAACCTTCTAAGGACATTATTTAGTTCAGGGTACGCTGATCCATTCTGATCACAACCTTCTATGGACATTATTTAGTTTAGGGTACGCTGAGACGTTCTGATCACAACCTTCTATGGACATTATTTAGTTTAGGGTAAGCTGAGACGTTCTGATCACAACCTTCTATGGACATTATTTAGTTTAGGTCACAAAAGCTATTTAGAACCGTTCTAGATCACAACCTTCTATGGACATTATTTAGTTTAGGGTCACAAAGCTAGTTTAGGACGTTCTGATCACAACCTTCTATGGACATTATTTAGTTTAGGGTAAGCTGAGACGTTCTGATCACAACCTTCTATGGACATTATTTAGTTTAGGGTACGCTGATCCATTCTGATCACAACCTTCTATGGACATTATTTAGTTTAGGGTACGCTGATCCATTCTGATCACAACCTTCTATGGACATTATTTAGTTTAGGGTACGCTGATCCATTCTGATCACAACCTTCTATGGACATTATTTAGTTTAGGGTACGCTGAGACGTTCTGATCACAACCTTCTATGGACATTATTTAGTTTAGGGTACGCTGAGACGTTCTGATCACAACCTTCTATGGACATTATTTAGTTTAGGGTACGCTGAGACGTTCTGATCACAACCTTCTATGGACATTATTTAGTTTAGGGAAAGCTGAGACGTTCTGATCACAACCTTCTATGGACATTATTTAGTTTAGGGTACGCTGATCCATTCTGATCACAACATACTATGGACATTATTTAGTTTAGGGTACGCTGATCCATTCTGATCACAACCTTCTATGGACATTATTTAGTTTAGGGTACGCCTATCTATTCTGATCACAACCTTCTATGGACATTATTTAGTTTAGGGTAAGCTGAGACGTTCTGATCACAACCTTCTTTGGACATTATTTAGTTTAGAGTAAGCTGAGCCGTTCTAATCACAACCTTCTATGGACATTATTTAGTTTAGGGTAAGCTGATCCATTCTGATTACAACCTTCTATGGACATTATTTAGTTTAGGGTAAGCTGAGACGTTCTGATCACAACCTTCTATGGACATTATTTAGTTTAGGGTAAGCTGAGACGTTCTGATCACAACCTTCTATGGACATTATTTAGTTTAGGGTATCGTTCTGATCACAACCTTCTATGGACATTATTTAGTTTAGGGTTCTGATCACAACCTTCTATGGACATTATTTAGTTTAGGGTAAGCTGATCACAACCTTCTATGGACATTATTTAGTTTAGGTACGCTGATCACAACCTTCTATGGACATTATTTAGTTTAGGGTAAGCTGAGACGTTCTGATCACAACCTTCTATGGACATTATTTAGTTTAGGGTAAGCTGAGACGTTCTGATCACAACCTTCTATGGACATTATTTAGTTTAGGGTACGCTGAGACGTTCTGATCACAACCTTCTATGGACATTATTTAGTTTAGGGTAAGCTGAGACGTTCTGATCACAACCTTCTATGGACATTATTTAGTTTAGGGTACGCTGAGACGTTCTGATCACAACCTTCTATGGACATTATTTAGTTTAGGGTACGCTGATCCATTCTGATCACAACCTTCTATGGACATTATTTAGTTTAGGGTACGCTGAGACGTTCTGATCACAACCTTCTATGGACATTATTTAGTTTAGGGTAAGCTGAGCCGTTCTAATCACAACCTTCTATGGACATTATTTAGTTTAGGGTAAGCTGAGCCGTTCTAATCACAACCTTCTCTGGACATTATTTAGTTTAGGTAAAGCTGGACTGTTCTAATCACAACCTTCTATGGACATTATCTAGTTTAGGATAAGCTAAGACGTTCTGATCACAACCTTCTATGGACATTATTTAGTTTAGGGTACGCTGATCCATTCTGATTACAACCTTCTATGGACATTATTTAGTTTAGGGTAAGCTGAGACGTTCTGATCACAACCTTCTATGGACATTATTTAGTTTAGGGTAAGCTGAGACGTTCTGATCACAACCTTCTATGGACATTATTTAGTTTAGGGTACGCTGATCCATTCTGATTACAACCTTCTATGGACATTATTTAGTTTATGGTAAGCTGAAACGTTCTGATCACAACCTTCTATGGACATTATTTAGTTTAGGGTAAGCTGAGACGTTCTGATCACAACCTTCTATGGACATTATTTAGTTTAGGGTAAGCTGAGCCGTTCTAATCACAACCTTCTATGGACATTATTTAGTTTAGGGTAAGCTGAGACGTTCTGATCACAACCTTCTATGGACATTATTTAGTTTAGGGTAAGCTGAGACGTTCTGATCACAACCTTCTATGGACATTATTTAGTTTAGGTAAAGCTGGACCGTTCTAATCACAACCTTCTATGGACATTATTTAGTTTAGGGTAAGCTAAGACGTTCTGATCACAACCTTCTATGGACATTATTTAGTTTAGGGTACGCTGATCCATTCTGATTACAACCTTCTATGGACATTATTTAGTTTAGGGTAAGCTGAGCCGTTCTGATCACAACCTTCTATGGACATTATCTAGTTTAGGATAAGCTAAGACGTTCTGATCACAACCTTCTAAGGACATTATTTAGTTTAGGGTACGCTGATCCGTTCTGATCACAACTTTCTATGGACATTATTTAGTTTAGGTAAAGCTGGACCGTTCTAATCACAACCTTCTATGGACATTATTTAGTTTAGGGTAAGCTGAGACGTTCTGATCACAACCTTCTATGGACATTATTTAGTTTAGGGTACGCTGATCCATTCTGATCACAACCTTCTATGGACATTATTTAGTTTAGGGTACGCTGATCCATTCTGATCACAACCTTCTATGGACATTATTTAGTTTAGGGTAAGCTGATCCGTTCTGATCACAACTTTCTATGGACATTATTTAGTTTAGGGTACGCTGATCCGTTCTGATCACAACCTTCTATGGACATTATTTAGTTTAGGGTAAGCTGAGACGTTCTGATCACAACCTTCTATGGACATTATTTAGTTTAGGGTAAGCTGAGACGTTCTGATCACAACCTTCTATGGACATTATTTAGTTTAGGGTACGCTGATCCATTCTGATCACAACCTTCTATGGACATTATTTAGTTTAGGTAACACTGAGCCGTTAGAATAAAAAAAATCCTTGAAACACTATATAGGGACATTTTAGACGCTGTTAGGAACCAAAGTAATGCTACTAGGAATACTCTCCTACCCTATAGTAAATCAGGGTACATACCCGGTTTACATTTACCACAGACGGTGTCATGAGTTGAGTTACATGGCTGGTCTATCATTTCACCGTGACGACATTCATGACATTTTGCGCAGAATTTTGAGAAATTTTTTGACCTTGAGAAAAAAGTGCCTTGAGGACACTCTTGGCAGTTGGTGTCCTTTGTAAAGGAGCATCGTGACTTGACGTATGAACCTGCTTGACATCTTGTGCACGGGATACAATTTCCTCTACGGTAGTATGTACGTTTCGGACACCAACACTGTGCCTTTTCTATCTTCCTGCATTTCCGCCCGTGTCTGCGTCCTCGAACACAGTGCCGACACGGATGGCAACGCTTGGCGTTGTTGTAGGCGTACGTTCCTGGCCTACACGGCTCACAGTGCGTGTTGTTAACCTTTGTACATCGAGTTACCTGTTTGTATCCTGGTCTACAAGAAGTGCATGTCTTACACAACGTTTCTCCTTTAAGAGATATGTCCAAAAAGTGATGTTTCCTTGTCTGACATGTCGCTTTGTTCAGTCGGTGTCCCTGAAATTACCAAATTACCAATTAACATAATTTTACCAGTAAGTACTTCCGTGTTTTTTTGCTAATCACGTATAATGTATGCTCAGAACATTAGGCATTGAATTAGATTTAGTTAGACTGAAACGAACCGGATGTTTGAATGTAAATATGATTGGATTTCCCCGAGTTTTTCGAATAGTATTAATGTCCTCATTGATGTTAAACTAGCGACTAGATTTGTAAACGTCATTTAAAAAGTGTAAGGAAGAGTTTTGTTTTGTTTTTCAATTATACTAATTATATTTTCTATTCCAAATTTTTGTTTTTCAATTATACTAATTTATTTAATTATAAAAGAGATGGGGAACTTTTCATTCTATCAACATATCAAAACATTGGGCGGAGGTTTTTTCACCGAGTGAGTGACTTAACATCATGATGGGTCTATATATATGCTGTACTTGAAACTTCTCAGGTTTCCTTTAACCAAACAATGAGTCAGTTTCGTGGAATTTTTCATTCAAGGAGTTTTTGGATGACAGTGGTCTAAATTTAGATTCGTTTTGCATGCTTCGTCGGCTTACAGGGAATGATATTGCTCTTTTTTTGAGTGGAGGGGTTATCATATCTTTTTGCCCCCACAATTTTCTCATTTGAACTTTTTAAAAAGGGATACATTTCTTCATTTTACTGAATAAAAATACACACAGAAGTTCATTAAATTAATTCAACAACTTTCATTTGTCGTGGTCATGTAAGAAAATTCCGGAAATCCTGTTTTTTCACCGTCTGATTCATTCCACTGGCGTAGGAAGCAGGGGTGGGGGCGTGGGTGGGGGCGGAGCGGGAGCCACAAATGGCCCTAACTTTTTGACAATTTCCTACATGACATCATATCATAAGATTTCAAATAAGTTACGATAAGTATATAATTATCATTGTTATTGAATACTATTTGACAAATATATATATATATATATATATATATATATAATTTAAAAAGATAAAAAAAACTTTGCGTATCATATATACAGAGAAAATTAATCACTTAACATGACAAACAAATATATCACTAACGTTTTCAGGCCTCGCGGCCATCTTCAGGTGATTACATTACATGTACATTACATTGTCATGTTAAGTGTTTAATTTTCTCTCTCTCTATATATATATATGTAAACTGTACAACATTCTACACAATTGAACTGGGTCAGTAAAGCGCTGAGACGTAGTTTATTTTTGTATATTACGATCAGAAAAAAGTATGTAAAAAGATAGCAATTGATATGTATTGATAAGTAACTTTACATATAAACATGTTACGATATTTTACTGTGAGAAAGTTCGGCTTCACTGCTGATTTTGTGTTATCTAAGATATACATAAACGTGTTTAGATCTATTACCTATGTTTCGCCCCGCAATTGCAGTGTCCAGTGTCAAATGTTTCTTAAGACATAGATAGATGTAGAGATGTATTACAGATATGATGTATGATTTGGAAATATTACGTCTGAACACTCAGAAAACACGTCGGAATGGTTGTATAGGAAGTCATACCTTGTGTATCAAAAATATCATTACATGAGACACACATACATACATACACCCAACCACATATCTCTTCCTACCTTTAACATACGACAGACTACGTCTGTGAACAGAAGTTCAGTTCTGTACCAGTTACTTACAGAGTGATCGTTTACGTCTTACCTCGGTTTGGTGAACAGTGAAAGACATCAAGACGAGAAACGGCAACAACATTTTTCTTCGTATTATGGTATACCATGTTTTAGATCCAGACGTGATATGACACATAAGTTGGTTTCCCCGCTCCGACTATTTTAAGCTCAAAGCGATATGTGTGTTGTGGCTATTTTTAGACTACACGCAAACGAATAAATCAAATTTCAGGTGACGGTTACAAGTACTATCGTATGAACATACATAAATCAATTGACTTTTAAAATATGAAACAAGCATATAATCAGAGATGAAAATAAATGTTTTTCTATGATATCAAATGAATATTTAAATATTTGTTACAGACGTTAAGAACCTCAATTAAAAAGGGCGTGTTTTTGTTGTAATATGAATGTTGATTAGCTGTAAAGGGTTTGTCTACACACGGACTTATATACACATGTGTATATAAGTCCGTGGTCTACACGACCAGGAACTAGATATAAGTCCGTGGTCTACACGACCAGGAACTAGATATAATTCATTTGTCGACAGCTATATATAGCTAAAGGAAGTCTATTATTACTTTATACAATTAATGTTAGTCTAAATACAATATCTCATTGCAGATCTCTCTTAAATGTTCCATAAGACGCCATCTTAAATTTTAATTATCAAAAGAAGAGGTTTTCCGATCGGATCATATTTATAAATAGTTCGAATTGTACAAGTAATGCGTTTATTTAAATCTTGGCGACATGTAGGTGACCTGTTTTGCTAAAATGTCCCTATTCAATTAAGGAGTAAAAACATTTGATACTTTGGCATGTCTCCAAAACATATTTCTATATTTACTCTTAAAATGAAAACTTGTTTGGCAATGAGGTCAATCATAACTATAGAGGTACAGTAGAGGGTTTTCGTATTTGTTTTTTTTTCTGTCACGTCCATATCACAGATTTCTGAATACACTGGTGTTTTCTTATGACCACAGTGTAGAAAAAAGACGGATGACATGTATACGTGTCCTCGGCTTCCGTAAGTAGATTGATGTAAGGTTTCTCAAATAAATCTAACTTTACAAATTAATTGCTGGTGTCTTGAAAGGAAAATATGTTAGGTGATCATGGTGTCAAACCTGTGATATAGTAAGTCCGAATTAGTAAACTTTATGTAAATAACAAACAGCAAGACAACCAACAACGGGAAATGAAAATAAAAATAAATATATCTAATAAGCCCCAAATGGGCTTCCATACAACAACAAACCGAGTCTCCTTGATCAGATTACAAAGCCGATGATACGTATGTAGTTTCTGAGAATTGCACACTTAAGAACAATTTCAGTTTCTGAATAATGTCTCGTTCTAAAGGTAAATTTATCAATTTAACTCTCTTTTTCTTAACTTTAGTTACATAGTTCTTCTGAATAAATGGCAAACAACATTATCAACAAAACATATATTACAAGATAATATAACAGCCTAATGCATATTTCCTTAGTGAAAATCATTAATGTATGATAAATACGTCTACAATATTTTGTAGGCCCAATCTCTTCTAGTCTGCTTAGAGTCTCCGTGATAACGAGTACAAATGTAGCTGCCTTTTGAGTACGCCATTTGCAGAGTTGGTTTCTCGATTATCGCCTTCCTCCGAAAGCTACTTTCGTTCTTCGTTATCAGTAAAGCTAGCCAGTTGTACTATTGTAATTGTATCATTACAATATTATTCCAGTTTATTCCATAAAGCAATTTTGAAAATAATTCGCATGTGTTAATTAAAATCATGTCGCTATGTTTTAACGGATTTGTACTGTTGACACAAAAAGTCTGAACCAGTTTTTAAAGCCCTTGGATTATTTGTGGGGTTTGGAATTAAAAGAAAGTAACATACGATATGTTTATTTTTATTGTTAAAGTATCTATTCATTCAGAATTATGCAATAACACATGGACTTCATTCGATTCAAGTTATCGATTCAACTGATCAATACGGATAACAAAGTCTGATATAGAGAAAACTTTGAGTGTTAGATCTAACCTGAAATAAAACTATCAACTATTTGTCTCTTGCACATATTTATCAAAAACAATATAATAAGAATCTAGTGTATGTATTTAAGAGTGTTTTTTGTTTGTTCAGAGAGGAATGAATGGAAGTAAACTGAGCCGGTAAGGTATTTATGATTTGAGCATTGTAATTATAACTAAAGATGTCATTTCATTTTCAAGAGTGAGAATTTTTGTATCATTTTGTTTCTGTGTGCTTCCTTCATCCTCCTTCCAGCTAATTAAAAAATAAAGCTCGCAAGGTATACATTTTTAAAGGGAGATATATAATGTTCACTCGATACAGACGATTATCATAAGGTAATGAGAACGGACATGGCAGGGGAATGGTACATATCGAGGGAAATTCAAGGTCATACATCAAACGCAGAGATCACTGGACTGAAACTAAATCTTCGCATCAGCGGGAAGGTATTAGTTATCCGCAGGATGGCAGTTCTGGTTCAATAAAAATTTCCTGACACTTTGGGTATCAAGTAAGTAATAATTTATTTCTTGTGGGTACTTCCTTTTGTTCTGTATAACTGGTGTTTGTATCGCCTTTGATCTATTAATTATTACTTGTGTGTACTTTTGTTCTATATAACTGGTGTTTGTATCTCCTTTGATCTATTAATTATTACTTGTGTGTACTTCCTTCTATATTACTGGTGTTTGTATCTCCTTTGTTCTATTAATTATTACTTGTGTATACTTCCTTCTATATAACTGGTGTTTGTATCGCCTTTGATCTATTAATTATTACTTGTGTGTACTTTTGTTCTATATTACTGGTGTTTGTATCTCCTTTGTTCTATTAATTATTACTTGTGTGTACTTTTGTTCTGTATTACTGGTGTTTGTACTTCAGTTGTTCTTACATATGGGTTAATCCTTTCATTAGGCAAAACAGCAGCCAAAGAGGTGGTTATGATTTTTATTATATTCGATAATAAATTCAATTAACAATAAAAAAAAATCACAGATTATGATGAGATATGCAAAAGGACGGCATTTGTGTCCATTTAGGAAGGAATTCAAAACGATCACAGCTGGCCTACATTAATGTGATTGTATAGAAGGATATATTGAAGTGATTATGGCACCGAAATAGGTTTAGAATCTCTACAACCAACCGTGTGAATATATTCTATATTATATTGAATATGATATGATAGAAAATAGTCTTAAGTCTTGTAATCGATAACGTTTGTTCTTTTGTTTTCTACACATCCCTTTCAGCTTGATTAATAACTATTTGAATCCTTTGATTATCGTCGTCGTAAGTCAGTATCGCTTTGATTCCGCAGATGTTCGACAGCCCGTTGTTCTTGTTTGTTATAGTTATGTCTGTGAGTTACATTAGCCGGATTGGTGTAATTAGGTCATAGCTTTATGTAGTGGTTTACTCACAAATATTATAAAATGATTTTATTGGATAATTTTGCACATGTGATGGCTGTCAGCCAAAACATTAATCATGAGTGAAGACTCCGTGAACGAAGTACATGAACTAAGTCCATAATAGGACTGTAAATATAAACTCACTTGTGGCTGATGTGTATACTTCTGTAACTTAACTTGTCATTATCATGCTGTTTAATGTTGTGAATAATGAACGGTACGGCCATCTCGTTTCATTGATATATTGGAAGTCCCGTCCCCTGCAATTCTCTTGGCACTTTTAACGATTGGTGTTTGTACCATTTTGTTATTTACGTTTGTTGTTAAACCCTCCGTTGCTGTTTATGATTGGTGTTTGTACCTTCGTTGTTGTTTATGGTTGGTGCTTGTACCTTTGTGTTGTTTATGGTTGGTGTCTGTACCTTTGTGTTGTTTATGGTTGGTGTTTGTACCTTCGTTGTTGTTTATGGTTGGTGTTTGTACCATTGTGTTGTTTATGGTTGGTGTCTGTACCTTCGTTGTTGTTTATGGTTGGTGTTTGTACCATTGTGTTGTTTATGGTTGGTGTTTGTACCATTGTGTTGTTAATGGTTGGTGTTTGTACCTGAGTGTTGTTTATGGTTGGTGTTTGTACCTTTGTGTTGTTTATGGTTGGTGTTTGTACCATTGTGTTGTTTATGGTTGGTGTTTGTACCTTCGTTGTTGTTTATGGTTGGTGTTTGTACCTTCGTTGTTGTTTATGGTTGGTGTTTGTACCTTCGTTGTTGTTTATGGTTGGTGTTTGTACCTTCGTTGCTGTTTATGGTTGGTGTTTGTACCTTCGTTGTTGTTTATGGTTGGTGTTTGTACCTTTGTGTTGTTTAGGGTTGGTGTTTGTACCATTTGTTGTTTATGGTTGGTGTTTGTACCTTCGTTGTTGTTGATGGTTGGTGTTTGTACCTTAGTTGTTGTTTATGGTTGGTGTTTGTACCTTCGTTGTTGTTTATGGTTGGTGTTTGTACCTTCGTTGTTGTTTATGGTTGGTGTTGGTACTGTCGTTGTTGTTTAGGGTTGGTGTTTGTACCTTTTGTTGTTTATGGTTGGTGTTTGTATCTTTGTGTTGTTTATGGTTGGTGTTTGTACCTTCGTTGTTGTTGATGGTTGGTGTTTGTACCTTAGTTGTTGTTTATGGTTGGTGTTTGTACCTTCGTTGTTGTTTATGGTTGGTGTTTGTACCTTCGTTGTTGTTTATGGTTGGTGTTTGTAGCTTTATGTTGTTTATGGTTGGTGTCTGTACCTTCGTTGTTGTTTATGGTTGGTGTTTGTACCTTTGTGTTGTTTATGGTTGGTGTTTGTACCATTGTGTTGTTTAGGGTTGGTGTTTGTACCATTTGTTGTTTATGGTTGGTGTTTGTACCTTCGTTGTTGTTGATGGTTGGTGTTTGTACCTTCGTTGTTGTTTATGGTTGGTGTTTGTACCTTCGTTGTTGTTTATGGTTGGTGTTTGTACCTTCGTTGTTGTTTATGGTTGGTGTTGGTACTGTCGTTGTTGTTTAGGGTTGGTGTTTGTACCTTTTGTTGTTTATGGTTGGTGTTTGTATCTTTGTGTTGTTTATGGTTGGTGTTTGTACCTTCGTTGTTGTTGATGGTTGGTGTTTGTACCTTAGTTGTTGTTTATGGTTGGTGTTTGTACCTTCGTTGTTGTTTATGGTTGGTGTTGGTACTGTCGTTGTTATTTATGGTTGGTGTTTGTAGCTTTATGTTGTTTATGGTTGGTGTCTGTACCTTCGTTGTTGTTTATGGTTGGTGTTTGTACCTTTGTGTTGTTTATGGTTGGTGTTTGTACCATTGTGTTGTTTTTGGTTGGTGTTTGTACCTTTGTGTTGTTTATGGTTGGTGTTTGTACCTTCGTTGTTGTTTATGGTTGGTGTTTGTACCTTTGTGTTGTTTATGGTTGGTGTTTGTACCTTTATGTTGTTTATGGTTGGTGTTTGTACCTTTATGTTGTTTATGGTTGGTGTTTGTACCTTTGTGTTGTTTATGGTTGGTGTCTGTACCCTCGTTATTGTTTATGATTTATAAATTATTGATATGGATACCCTTCATAAGGTAAAAAAAATGTGGTCCGGAAGAGTACGCGTCTTGTGCTTCATCCACAACATCCACCATGTAAATCTTGGTAAATTCAAGTAGGCAACATCAATTTCTCTAATAGAAAAGACTATTTAGGAAGACGGAACATCACATCGTATATTTAAATATAATATATCCCAGTGGGTTTATTATGACTTCCCTATGAGACTAGGAACGAACTCTTGAATAACTGTGACATATAAAGATCGGGGAAGTAGACAGTTTCAAACAAGACATCGCCAAATCTGTCAGTTTCACTAATACACATAAACTGTAGATATAGTTATGATGTCATGCCTTATTATGACAAAAAACAACGTATTTACGGTTTTGAATGTATACCCTCAAGAATAAGAAATTTAGGACACGACTCGCTCTTCATTCAGAAAACAGTAAACAAATATTTTCATAATTATGATAATTTTTATGATAATGACTATTATGACTATATAACATCTGTTCTGAGTATATCTTGACTTAATAAAATGATCTGAGCACACAAGGTTTTTGCACAAGGTTTATTTGTCTAAATATTGAATTCCAGTTTAATACGTCTGCTCGTACATTAGCCGCCATCTTGTTTGAATTACTATTGAACACACCCAACCACTTATAGACTACTTTCCTTAAGAAGCTAGTTACCTGACGAATTATTTATAGACCAGTTGCTAATATATTGTGGAGCAAACAGTTCATAACTTCATAATGCCGTCGCTATGTAGTATAAAACAAGGGACATGCAAAAAACCTTATCTACTACTTTTTCCTTTAGTAACAAGGCGGCTAAATGTTTATGTATTGTGGTGCAAATATCCGATAAAACCACGGTGGCGAAATTAGATAGTTCTACATCTTGTCAACAATGTAAACTGATGGTATGATGATAGATATAGAACCTAAAACTAGTTATTAATGCAACAATAAAACGGAATTAAACGATATCAGTGGAATTCGTGTTGTACTAGTATCCTGATGTTACTTCGGTGAATCCTGCTAGCGGTTTTTATTCAATGAAAAACGCAGATTTCGTACATCATACACCAATATATCAATACTTATTACCGATTTGCTAGTTATTAAATAAGAACTTCTATAATAACACTTATTTTTTTGTTAATGAAGATGGCGACTATACAACAACTGATCCGGGTATATATTGACTAAATTAGATGATCTGATCGCACGAGAACGTTCTACAAAGTTTACTTGCCGGAATATTTGTTTAAAATTCCAATATACCCTGTATGTCTAGGCCGCCATTTTGTTCATAATGCTACACTCTGCTCTAAATTATGTGCAAGTTTGAGAAAAGTTAGTATTGCGAAGCTTTTAAACGACTCGGAAGTTACCATTGATGGTCTGCAGCCGTGCATGTTTGTCTATCAGGTCATTTATACCAGAACTGAATGCTTCGACAAGATCGTCTACCCTACCAGCAGTTGACTGTAGTGTGTGAGAGGATTCAATGTCTTTGATGAAATCTGACATATCAGTGAACTTAAGGTATTGATGGTCACAATACACAAATGTTGGCCAGACTCAAAGAATGAGGTTTGCGTTAAAGCAAACTCCTGCTGGGATTCCGGAGATCAACTCTCGATTCTAGATAGTGCAGCAGAATTGTCATTCCGCCTAACATGAGGGAAGAGATGCCAAATCGCACTCACAACTAACACCTTGTAATTACTAAGTGTGAAAGCCGCGCTAGAGAGTTCATGTATTGGCCAGGTATGATCTCAGATATAGAGGACACTGTCAGTAACTGTTCATTGTGTACTGGACATTAGAAGCAAGAAGGAGCAGGGCCCCTAAAGCTTACTCCTATAGCAGATCTTACTGTCTTGAGACTTTTTCGAGCTGAAGTCTAAGAGCTACCTAATACTTGTGGATTGCAATTCCAAGTACATTTATGCTGTCAAACGCAAGTCTGGAACTACTACCTCCGTCATTGAAGCCAAGAAGTCCGCCTGTCATGAGTTACCCACGGCACTGCGCTCTGACAATGGACCTCAGTTTACTTCTACAGAATTAAAAACGTTCTAACTAATGATATTGCACAATGAAACGTCAAGTCCGCAAGTTCAAACGTGTAGATTGATGAGCCAGATTGTGAAACAGTATTGAAGAAAAGCGTTGCCATATTATAGCACAACACCACTTGAACGTATCAACCTGTCATCAGCTCAACCACTGATCAGTAGATCCTTAAACCCTGCAGGTATGACAGCGAGAAAATGAGACACACAAAAGACCAAACAAAAACATTCTTTTATGATAGAGGGAAAGGAGTTAAGGAGTTGTCGCCAATTGAAGAAGGTACTGCAATCGGAATGAAAACATCAAATAACACAGGAACATAGTTCGTAAGTCAGCCAAGCCTAGGTTATACATTGTTAGGAGTAATGAAAGTGGAAAGTTATTTCGTAGGAATCGGAGACATCTAAGTGAGAGCACGGAAACTGCAAATTATACACAAGGTCAATTGAGCCATGGAGATGAGATGGAGGAACTGGGCACGAGACTTGACTTGTAAATAGTCAGTTAATAATGTTTTGTAGGTAAGAGAGAAGTCATTTATTCATGCTGCAACAGCACTGTGAATAGGTCACAATAATCCCTGTGCTGTTTGCCTGAATAAGAGTTCTGAGTAGCTGTTGGCTTGTTATTTGTTTATTCATTTATATTGATAATCAGTTACTATGATATTTTCAAAGTCCTCGTGACTATTGAATCCAACAAATTTATATTGCGTTAATGAAAATAAATCCCTAAAATCAATACAAGATTAATGACTCAAATATCCTTTATTCAAAATATTGGGTTTTGGCTCATATACACCTTTTGTTTTTAAAAAAAGCATGCTGATTGTACAGTATATTACTTTTCTTCTTAAAGTAAAGAGGATATTATACATGTAAGGACTAGTCAGTGTAAGGCCTAAAGAGTTCTTCCCTTGTGGATTTGAAAAAAACATGTTGAAGCACGGTTTCCTGTGCCTCTGCATACTTTTGACCTGTAGCACTGCTAGATGCAGTCTGTGAATATAACAATAAGAGTCAATAACACTTAACTTTTTGAAGGCTAAATGCTACGGGGAAGACACTTGATCCTAGTCAAGATTAAGAAATCGGTTTAACCCTCAGACTACTACCGCATTAATTCATTGGAATATAAATTGTAACATCGTGTAATACTATTATAACAAGAACGAAAACAGATATTCACTTATAAAAACGAAAGTACAGTTAATACCATATTGTAAACAGGAAGGGAAAAGAACTTTTCTTCATTGGAGCTAGATTTACCGAGTGGTGAGAGATTACTTTAAGGATGGCCACTTTGTTTAGGAGCCAGGACACAATCAGGAATGTACTCTAAACTAACCGGGAAGCGAACATAAAGGAAGTAAAACCACACTATATATAGTCTAAATCCAATTCTTTACATGTCTTTGTATTGCGTGTTTATCATCATGACTATCTCGCAAAAGAGTTTTGTAAAATGTTGTCCCGGAAAACAGTTGAAGAGAATGTATGTGTAATGATACACGAATGTTAGTTTGTTAATACTTGACATTGGCACATCTTCATGACAGAAAATCAAATACGAATGTGGGTATCCTGGATATATCATTCGAAAAGAGACAATCAGATATCAGCAGCATGAAACACCACATATGTATCCCATGATCAAACTATTCTCAAGAGAATGGTGGTAAATGTGTCAATGAGCTCCACCGTCTAAACCGTGTGCATTCAATGCAGTTATCACTTTGGCCCATATCCTGCTCTGCCTAACGTTCTCTTGCGACCATTCAGTGTATGTGACGGTGTCCAGGATGGCCCGAACAGAGGAGGGTAATACAGCAGTGTCTAGTTCCTCAAGTAATATCACCGTTAACACCCCGGGGCCCTCCACTGCGGTTTTCGACTGAGTCAACACAAGTTCGAACTTACACCATTCGCTGTTTAGGAAATCTCTGGACAAGACAAGAATGATGTTTTTACTGACCTCAAATTTTCTCGTTATATTGTCCAGAATGAACCGCCCTACCTCGAAATCTCTTTCATGTACGCATAGCCTACAACCAGCTTTCTCCTCCAATTCTGGGATCATGTGATCGAAAATAAAGTCCCTGCTGTCATTTGAATAGATAACGAAAGCATCGTATTCGTAGTCCCGGTCATCCTTAATTCGTTTGTAACCAACTCTCTTTATTCCAAGAATGTGCAGCCAGTAGTTCAATCGGAAACGAAATTTATAGGCGAGTGATATAGTGATAAGAATGATAGCTGACGGTACGAATACAGCGATACAGATGTTTCTGATGAGTGGAAAATTCAAACGTGAACACGTTTCCACAGTAGGATTGTAATTCTTCAACAGCACGTTGTTCATTTCAGGAGGAAATCTACAAGTATATCTCCGAGGATAGTTGACAATTTCCGTATGTTTTGTGGACTTCATCCAGTCAAGGAACCACATCAAATCGCACGTGCATGAAAAGGGGTTATTGGTGATACAAAATTTATCTAACGAATTTAGGAAACTTTCCTGAAATGACGTCTTATTTACGACTTTTATGTTATTTCCGTCAAGGTATAAGCTTCGTAGTGATGTTACGTTACCAAACACTTCAGGGTCGTCGTTCCAACCACTTATGTAGTTCCCGATAAGGATCAAAGATCTCAAATTAGGCATTTGCTGAAAGACGTTGCGAGGAAGTCCTTTCAAGGCTGTTTTCTGTAGTATAAGCTTCTCTAACTTAACCAATGGTGTAAACAATTCCCGAAGAGATTGGGAATCCGAAGGTAAGAAATTTCCTGTGAGATCAAGCAACAAGAGGTTCGGTAAGGAATGAAACAACTTCCCATATAGCCAAGAGACCTTTTCAAATCTGTATCGATTTTGTCCAAAGTACAACTTTTTAAGACTTGAAGAGTTGAATGCAAATCCTTCAATGTAACGTAAATGATCACCGTTGGAAGTCATTGAGAGTTTTTCCAGTTTTGGTAACCGTGCAAATGTGTTATTGCGTATAGTTACGAGAGAAGTCTTATCAAGATATAGATTTCGCAAAAATGGTAAACACTGAAAAGAATATTCATCCAGATTATGGAGGTAATTTTGACGAAAGATAAGTGTCTTGATTTTTCCTGTAGACTGTCCGGTCGGTCCACAAAAAGATGGCAACTCTCGCATGGCATTGTTTGCCAGGTGTATATAGGATATTGAAGTAGACTCAAATCCGGTGCAATTGAAGTTCGAGATAAGATTGTTCGATAAATCCAAATTTTGCAGAAAATGCAAACTAGAGAAATAACTTCCATATATATTCTCGATTAAATTGTCACTGAAGGACAACGTTTGAATTGAGGAATTATGTACTTCCGAGAACATGTCTTTCCGAATGGTCTTCCAGAGATTGGATTTTAACGAAAGAATTCGTATTCTAGGCGAATACTGTAGAATGTTTGATATTACATTCTGCGGTAAGTCACCATTTCTGCTGATCTCCAAGGAAAACATGTTCGTTAGATTGGTGAATGCATCCGGGTCTATCATGTTAGTCAAAGTATCGATGAAATGTAATCTTTCCACTTGGACTAAGGTCAGATTGAACAAAAACTTCCCCGTTATTTTCGGAAAGTTTGTCTTTGTAAATATTACAGTTCGTGTATACGCCGGGAAAACCGGAACATAATGCACAGCACTTCCAGTACAGTTAACCATCATTGTTTTAGGATAACACTTGCACATGGTCACAGGACACCGATCTACATGATTGAAACTTTCATAGTGTTCCCAACATAGGTAGAATACCAACAGCATCAAAGTCGTTCCTAAGCGTTGATACATGGTGATGACAATATGGGTCTGTGAATGCAAATAGCCAATAATTATTATGAAAATTAATGTAATGATTACCTTGTTGATGTTGGTATAGAGCTGTGTGATTAGATTAGGATATTTCTCCACCCTTTAGAAATATATGCGTGAAAACTTAAAAAACAGAATCCCGCTTAATGCTATATAAATGGAAGCATTAACTCGCATGCACATACTGTTACTGGTTTCGTTTCCCGTCGCTTACGGTACCTAATAGAAAAAATATCTTTATTATCTAGGTAATCTATTCACAAATGAATGAGTTATCATGTTCAACGTTAAAAGCCTAATGTTGATAGTTTTTATCAGTATGTATCTTTTTCAGATAACTTCCTGTAATACTACACCGTCCGGTAACAAGTCTTTCTTTGATACATGCAACAATTATTCAGCTGTCCGCCAAACTAGCTTATATTCACATAAAATATCAATATTTCGATAAAATTTATCCAAAATAACATTTAACTTGAACTCAACGTATTTTATAACAGTCAGTTATTTATATCCGATATAGAGGAATACCCTAGAGCCATCTTAGAAAAAACATGAAACAAAAACTTTAAGCTCAAATCGCGTATTGAATAAACCAGCCAAGTTTCAGACGTAATTACTCAAGAAATTGCACTTCTGATCATATAAACTTGTATACTGTTTATGCTTACCAACTTAGTCTGGAACAAAAGGAGAAAATAAGCTCTGATCACATCACGCTATCCTTCATCAGATGGATATAAATTCTGGAGTAATTTATCTTCTTCCTTGTAATGCAGTACTACTACTGATGTGAAAATGCATAGGAAAAAGTATCTAAAATATTTCATGAGTGCCCACGCCATGTGCAATGCTTTCCGTTTCCACTATAATACACTTGACACAACTGAAAAAAACATCCGAAACTTGTTAAAATATTTCGTAACAGTATTGGATAATGATTGATCAATGTCAACATCGCGGGGTTGCACATACAAAAAAGTACATATGAGTACATAAGGACATAATTAGAGATTAGATATCTCTATTACAAGTTTATAAGCGGTTACTTTGAGATATGACATATCAACAAATTTTTTTAAATGTGCATATAAATAGGATATACTACTTACTTTCAATAAAACAGAAGCCATCTTAATATCATATAGATCAAATGGAAATTGATTTCATCCTGATTTTAAATATCTAAATATTAATGTTATAAGACTTTTAGCTATGAAAGGTCAAGGTCACGCGGACCGATAGCGTCCAACTTATTTTGGCTCCGGTAAAAGACCTAATTTTTTGCATTTTTTATAATTCGGAAAACAACAAGATTTCGACAATGCTTGGTTAACAACTTCAAAATTCAACATATCTTACCAGAAGGTTACGAAACTGGAAGAAAAGTGAGCTTTGGACGTTGAAAATACACAATGGTTTAGGGACAATACGCGGTGACAACTGCTAACGGACACACCTATAGAATTACCTGTGGTATATACCTGTGGTGCACGTGAAGTAGATTTACAGGCTAGTACACGATGACTCCACCTACTAGAACCTCAACTTCTTCAGCGAAAAATAGTGAGCAATCTATTACTCAACGATTGGACGATATTACTAGAATTCTAACCAACATGGTCACTAATGATATTCTTGATCAGAAACTGTTACATCTGAAAGAAGAACTTAGAGAAGATATCCGGCATGAAAATAAGGAACTAGTGGAATCCTTACAGGACAGAATTACCGAGTTAGAAGAAGAGAATGAGAGTCTTCGAGGAACTGTTGGATTCCTAGAGAATGAAGTATCAGAACTTCAACAAAGCAAAAAGGAAAGCGAAATAAAGTATAATGACCTTGAACAGCAAGGAAGAAAAAACTCTATTAGAATTTATGGACAGGAAGACCCTAAAGAAGGTGAAACAGTGGAAGAATGTGTGGAAAAGGTAGTGAAATTCGTGAAATCGAAGTTGAAAGTGCCGCTTCACAGTGACGATATCGACTTCGCGCACAGATTAGGTAGATTTCAGGTTAGTAAAAGGAGGAGTGTAATCGTCAAGTTTACCCAAAGGAGGAAAAAACATGACATTCTGAGTGCCAGGAAGGTGTTGAAGGACTCGCAATATTCTGTATCAGAGGACCTAACGAAATATAACCAGGAGAGACTACGTAAAGCATACGGACTGGAATGTGTAAAGAACACGTTTAGTGTGGACGGAAAACTGTTCGCTGTACTTAAAGTGACAAGACAAGAATAAAATTAGGAGATTATTCTATGATACGCCACTCACCGAAGAACATCTTCTGAATGATTCAAATTTCAAATACGCTGGCTAGAATAGATCTGAATGATAGCTCGGCATTGGACTAACCGGGACCATTGAGCCCGAATGTCGAGAAATTATATCTTATCCTGACAAAATATCCTCAGTGTTTTTATGTATAGTGTATGTGTGTTTTCTGAAGAATAAATGTGTGTTTTCAGAGGATTACGTGTACGTGCAACGGCAACTGGTGTGAATTCTTGTACTCAGATAAGGTTACACTTCCGTGATCACTGATTTTTAAACGTTATGTTACGTATGCTATAGCATTATATTTTTCCCGTTCTCTATTTCTGTTAGCAGATGCACAGCACAGTGCATTATTTATTTATTTATCTATTTATTTAATTACTGATATTTCTTAAAAGAGTTACACGCTACGAAATTAATTGCGATTATATTATACCGAAAATATCCCTCTTTGTAATAGTTTCCGGAGTTTGATGTCCGGCTACCGGATCTTCTTTTCTTATACTACTTCCATATTTTGTTTCTACTTCCGGTTGTACTTGGGCGTCATGGAACAAGACAAGATGACGGTGTGAAAGTTAGTGGTTGTGAACTATTTTGACCTCAAATGTCCATTTTAAAATGTTTTCCTTTCTTTTGTATCTCTCTTATCTTCTCTCTTTCTCCATTGGATGTTGAACATTATTTAAAAGACTCAGCTTTGAAGTACTTGTATAGCAATGGGTTCGGATGACATCACTATTCTGTCGGCAAACTGTCAAGGTTTAGGTGACAAATTTAAACGGAAAGATGTTTTCTCATTTTTCCGAGAAAAGAAATACAATATTTTTTGTTTACAAGACACACACTTCGTAGAAACGCAAGAAAACATAATTAGGAATGAATGGGGATATGAATGCTTTTTTAGTTCGTATAAGTCAAACTCGAGGGGTGTTGCTATCCTGTTTAATAACAATTTCGAATTTAAAGAAAGAAAAAAGAGATGTAAATGGGAACTTCTTGGCAATTGAAGTAGATGTTGAGTCAGTTACTTTTACTTTGATTACCTTATACGGCCCTAATTCAGACAACCCAGATTTTTTAAATAACTTGTTAGAAACTATAGAGTATTTTGGTAATGAGAAAATAGTGGTATGTGGTGTTTTAATTTAGTTCTAAATCCGGAGATTGACTATGATAAGACTTACAAAAACACTCATAATCCCCAAGCACGAGATAAACTTTTAGAAATAATAGAGCACAAAAACCTTATTGATATTTACAGACAGTGCTACCCCAATCAAAGACGATATACTTGGAGAACGGAAAACCCACTGAAACAGTCTAGACTAGACTTCTTTCTTATTTCAGACTCCCTTTTAACTAGTATAAAAAGGGCAACTATCGAACCAGGTTACAGGTCTGACCACTCCTTTCCAAACATTTCTCTTCAGTTCAATGATTTTAAAAAAGGTAAAGGGCTATGGAAATTTAACAACTCATTGCTATATGATCAAGAATATGCAGAACTGGTTAAGAATGTCATTTTAGAAACAAAAAAAGAATACTGTGTACCAATTTATAATCTTGAAAATTTAGAATTTATTTCAGATACAGATTTGCAACTACTTATAAATGACCAACTGTTTTTAGAGGTTCTTTTAATGAATATAAGAGGAAAGAGTATTTCCTATTCATCATACAGGAAAAAACAGAGAAATATGAGAGAAAATGGATTAAAAGATAGCATACAGGTTTTAGAAAATGAGGATAATATTGATATAAACCAGATAGAATCTAAGAAAAGAGAATTAGAGCAGATTAGAATACTTCGAATGAAAGGCAGTTTAGTGAGATCTAGAGCACAATGGATAGAGGAAGGGGAAAAACCAACAAGCTATTTTTTTGGATTAAATAGAAACTTTACATCAAAAATAATTCCGAAAGTTCAGACAGATGAAGGAGACATAATTATAAAACCGGAAGAGATTTTAGAAACAGTAAAATTGTTTTATGAGAATCTATATGAAGAAGGAAATATTACAGACATTAATCTAAATGAATATCTAAATTTTAACAGTATTCCTAAACTCTCTGAAACAGAAGCTGAAAATTTAGAAGGTTTAATCACATTAGAAGAAGCCAGTAAATGTTTAAAGAATATGAAAAACAACAAAAGTCCTGGGTCAGATGGGTTCACTGCAGAATTTTTAAAATTTTTTTTTGGAATAAGATAGGTGTTTATGTTGTCAGGTCTTTAAATTATGGGTATTCACATAGAGAACATTCAGTTACTCAGAGACAAACAGTGATCACCTGCCTTCCTAAAGGGAATAAGCCTAGACATTTTATTAAAAACTGGCGTCCAATATCCTTATTAAATGTTACATACAAAATAGCATCAGGGGTTATTTCTAATAGAATTAAGTTAGTTTTAGACAGGCTAATTAATATGGATCAAACTGGTTTTATATTGGGACGCTATATAGGAGAAAACACTAGACTACTATATGATTTAATGCAATATGCAGAAGAAAATGATGTACCAGGTATGATTTTAATGGTAGACTTTGAAAAAGCGTTTGACTCTGTCTCTTGGAAGTTTATTGAAAAGGTTTTAATCTATTTTGGATTCAAAAATGATATTATTGTATGGTTTAAAACGCTACATAAAATGTATCAGCTTCAATTAACCAGGGAGGTAACTTATCTGCTTTCTTTGATATTAGAAAGGGCTGTAGACAAGGCGACCTGCTCGCACCCTATATTTTCATCCTCTGTGCTGAAGTTCTAGCGATTAGAATTAGAAATAACTATAGAATTAAAGGCATCAAAGCAGGTGAGCTTCCTATTTTGCTATCTCAATACGCTGATGACACTTTTTTCACACTTGATGGATCTGAACCATCATTATCGGAATCTTTAAAAGAACTTCATACATATAATAGCATTTCAGGTCTTAAAGTAAACATTGATAAGACCCAGATTATATGGATAGGGTAGAAGTATAGTGAAGATACTTTTTTACCAGATTTGAATCTACAATGGGGGCAAGAGCGGTTTACTCTTCTAGGAGTAGAATTTGATGTCAATCTTCATGCTATGCCAAAAATTAATTATGACAAGAAAATAGTAAAGCTAAAAGTTCTTATAAATACATGGAAAAGAAGAAATCTTACACCAATAGGTAAAATACACATAATAAAATCCCTTTTAATTTCTCAGCTCAACCACCTCTTTATAGCTTTACCAAATCCTGATGAAAAAACATTTAAGACAATCGAATCTATCATATTTGAATTTTTGTGGAGTAGTAAAATAGACAAAATCAAGAGAAATGTAGTGATGCAAGACCTTATAAATGGTGGTTTAAAAATGATAAATATAAGAGCTTTTGCAGATGCATTAAAACTAAGTTGGGTAAGGAGACTTTATCATAAAGCAGGTAAGTGGTCTGCAATATTACAGACTAATGTAAACATTGACATCCTACTGAATATTGGAGGTGAGTATATACAAAACTGCAAAAATGAAATCAAAAATAAATTTTGGAAAGATGTTTTCAGAGTATGGTACAAACTACAATCAACAATTGAAATGTGTACAGGAAAGGAAAACTCAGTTTTGGAAATACCTATATGGTTTAATAGAAATATCACTCTATCTGGAAAATCAATTTTTTATAAGCAATGGTATAGAAAAGGGATAAGAACAATAGCAGACTTCCTAGAAGCAGGTAATACTAATAATTTTCTTAGTTTTCAAGACTTTCAGAGAATATACAATGTGACAACTAACTTTTTGAACTATCAAGGTATCATTTCTGCAGTTTAAAAATCCTAAGAGATAATCCACCTGTGAAGAATGACTCTCAACGGCCTGTAATACCATTATATATAAAGATGTTTTTCGAGCATTTAAAAGGTTCAAAAATATTTTATAATATTTTAAATACAACTCGGACAGAGCCAACTGGTAAAGCTAAATGGGGAGAGCAGTTTGATTTAACAAATAGTGATTGGGAAATTTTCTACAAAATGCCATTTCAAATTACAAAAAATACCAAACTTCAATGGCTCCAGTATAGGATCTCTCATCACATTCTGACAACTAATAGTAGGCTTTTTAAGGCAAAACTTGTGTCCAGTCCACTTTGTAATCTATGCAACTCAGAAAGAGAATCGATCACTCATCTCCTTTGGGAATGTCAGGAAGTGTAAAACTTTTTACAATCATTTGAAACACTAACAGATTCTTTATTAACACCATTCTCAGTCAACAAACAGTCTTTTATACTTGGAATTAAAAGGAACAATAGCCCTAGCTTTAGAGTTGACAATGAAGTAATTCTTATGATTAAACATTATATATATAAAACAAGATGCCTCCATGCTACTCTCAATATCAACGCCATTGTAAAGATTATACAAAATCACTATTCTGTTCAAAAATATATTTCAAATAGCAAAAACATGTCTTACAAAAGTTCACAAATGATTGGAAAAAATGGGAAAACCTTATCCAATTGAATATTTAAATAATCATAATACTTTTTATCCTTGACATTGCTGTCATATCTTTGTTTCACTGTCTTTAGCAAAAAATTTGTTTCAACATCCTATGGACTTCTTATGTCATTTCCCCCTCCCCATCCCTTATCTTCCTAGAGTGAGAGAGAGCAATCTATGTATAATGTAAATTATTGATATTTCCTCTATGCTATCATTTAGTCTGGCTGTACTATGCTCTGTGTAATCTTTGACAACAAGGGCAGATAACAAAGAATCATCACCAGCTATTCACACCTTTTATTTACAAAGGTTTTTTTTTTTTTTTTTTTTTTAGTTTTTTTTAATGTAAATTACACTTTGTTTCAAACAAGCAGAAGTTGAAACATGGAAAGGCTGTTATGTGGGGCGTATCTCGCTACTCCCAATCCATGCTTGCACTTCTGGTTTGGGATTACACTATTGAAAACATATAATTTTGAATAAAGTTTGGGGATTAGGTGTGAATAGATGATGATGAGGCAAAACACTAATAATAATAAACAGCTCTGTTGTTGATCAGTGTATGATGTAATAATGAGGATGAAAGGTTGATGATGGAGTGGTGATGATGATATGATGATTACTATGCTGAATATGTGTTACTGCTGATGATGATATGATGATGATGATGATGATGATGATGATGATATGGTGATGATGATGATAATGAAGTGATGATGATACGATGATCATGATGATAACTATGTGATGATGATGACGATGATGATGATGATGATGATGATGATGATGATGATAGCAGTAATTGAGTTTGTATTATTATTGGGGCTTGTGAATGAAACACAGTAGTACATTGTATGTCATGTCAGCAAAGAGGAAAGAGTAGGAAATAATGAGTGCATGTTTTGAGTGAGTGTACATTGGTGTAGTGTGATGTGTGCCAGGGTGTGTATGTGTATGTGAGTCTAGTATATATCGTGTGTTGCATACCTTTGTAAAATCTTGAAAAACAAAATAAAAAAAAAATTAAAAAAAGACTTTTAGCTATTGTTTTTTGGACAGATCATATAATCAAATTTTATTATATACCAACTAAAAGTAGGTACATGATGATTTTTACCCTTTACTTATTCTTTTTTCAACGACGGTATGAGTTTGTTGTTAATTCATCGAATGCTATCTGTATAAATTATTGTTAGTCCCTTTTATTCTACAGCACTATCAAACAAAACATATCCTAGATAATTTTCATTAGGCTTAAATATGAGTTTCGAGTATCGTATCACCACCTATGTTCAGAAGAAGGTAGATATCGAGATCACATTGAATTTGCAGCAGTAATCTGATAGAAGGCTAGATCCATTTCATTCAGGTAAAGTTATATCAAAATATGTTACTGATTTTGTCTCTCCGCTTGCGGTACCTAATAGAAAAATATCTATATTATCTAGGTAATCTATTCACAATTGTATTACTTTAATACATACAATAAGTATTCAGCTGTCCGCCAAGCTATCATTTTTTCCGTGTCTTTTACAATGTCGGTTAATTTTCATATTTTGCTTGAGAATGTTGCCAACCGTATATTGTACATGTGCATTGCATTCTTCTGTATAAGGTTATATTGATGAGCTGTGAAACTTAACATCAATTTTGAAATTGATGGAAATGTTGGAAGTTTAGTGTATATTCCAGTCAGTGTTTAACACTTATGTCGACCAAGTTGGTTCTTCCTCGGCCTTCTAGGTTTTTCAACAAATTTTGACCAAAGTATCACGGACAACTCTAAGAAGGCCGAAACAGCTGTTTCATATAGTTTACTTCATAATTTGATTCTGTTGTATCTAACTTTTAGTTTGTAAGCTATTCAATGTACATTTTTTCCCTATTATTATACTGGTTCCTGAGATAGCTGCAATGTAAATGTCACGTTTAAATATATCAAAATAGTGACATGGTTTAAGATAACCCAATGTCATAGAAGCGAAGTTTTCTAGATGGTAATGTATAGCTTTATTTAATTTTAACTGACGTTAGAGAGTGACGCTTGTCTGTCATCAATATTGTGAAGAGAAAAACTCTCTAACATCTAACGGTATCGTGAAACTCAGTTTGTGTGAAATTGATAGAAGCAGATGATTCATATTGATATAACATTTCACGGCGTGGTATTTCATTGCTGTCAATGAACAAGGCATATTTACATTTTGTTAATAAGATAAAACAATGAAGATGTCATTTGTTGTTCAGAATGTTATGATAAAAACGGTACAAAAGATCAGGCCCCACTTGTATAAAACATCTCAACTTGAGATTTCCTCAAGTCGAGATTTTCCTTAGCTAATATCTCCTTGAAAATATCTTGCATGGAAATTCCTCAAGGAATTTCAGGACATCCTAGCCGATGCCTTCCTCCTGTTCCTTGAGAAAATTTTATACAAGCCGTTTTTGAGGAGATATCAGCTGAGGAAAATCTCGACTTGAGGAAATCTCAAGTTGAGATGTTTTATACAGGTGGGGCCTGATATGTTATTGTTGATTGACTAACACTTCATTATGAAATTTATGATAATGTGTAGCCTCTGCATTGGAAGATATTATTTCCTTAAGTGTCTTTTGCAGATGGTAGACACAGCTAGTGGACTTTTAGTCCCCGAGGTTTGCAGTAACCTGCATGACGCGTTTTTAATCATTTTAAACAGCTCAGAATGACGTTCTTTTCAAATGATCAGAAATTTGAAAATTACGACTTCTACTAAATCATTGGATGAGTGCAGATGCCCATCTCCATTTTGAAATGTCTCCTTAACAATTTTGATTTTCTTGATATTAATTGTTTATTTCACTCTACTGTATCTTATTTTAATTTTGTATTGAAATCAGCTATTGTGTTTTTTGTACCATCTCCGGTACTGGAATATTAAACTAAGAATGACGTTGAATATGTCAGTGAGCTTCACCACTTAAACCGTTTGTATTCAATGCAGTTATCACTTTGGCCCATATTCTGCTCTGCCTAACGTTCTCTTGCGACCATTCAGTGTATGTGACGGTATCCAGGATAGCCCGAACAGAGGAAGGTAATACAGCAGTGTCTAGTTCCTCAAGTAATATCACCGTTAACACCCCGGGGCCCTCCAATGCAGTTTTCGACTGAGTCAACACAAGTTCGAACTTACACCATTCGCTGTTTAGGAAATCTCTGGACAAGACAAGAATGATGTTTTTACTGACCTCAAATTTTCTCGTTATATTGTCCAGAATGAACCGCCCTACCTCGAAATCTCTTTCATGTACGCATAGCCTACAACCAGCTTTCTCCTCCAATTCTGGGATCATGTGATCGAAAATAAAGTCCCTGTTGTCATTTGAATAGATAACGAAAGCATCGTATTCGTAGTCCCGGTCATCCTTAATTCGTTTGTAACCAACTCTCTTTATTCCAAGAATGTGAAGCCAGTAGTTTAGTCGGAAACGAAATTTATAGGCGAGTGATATAGCGATAAGAATGATAGCTGACGGTACGAATACAGCGATACAGATGTTTCTGATGAGTGGAAAATTCAAACGTGAACACGTTTCCACAGTAGGATTGTAATTCTTCAACAGCACGTTGTTCATTTCAGGAGGAAATCTACAAGTATATCTCCGAGGATAGTTGACAATTTTCGTATGTTTTGTGGACTTCATCCAGTCAAGGAACCACATCAAATCGCACGTGCATGAAAAGGGGTTATCAGTGATACAAAATTCATCTAACGAATTTAGGAAACTTTCCTGAAATGGCGTCTTGTTTATAACTTTTATGTTATTTCCGTCAAGATATAAGCTTCGTAGTGATGTTACGTTACCAAACACTTCAGGGTCGTCGTTCCAACCACTTATGTAGTTCCCGATAAGGATCAAAGATCTCAAATTAGGCATTTGCTGAAAGACGTTGCGAGGAAGTGCTTTTAAGGCAGTGTTCTGTAGTATAAGCTTCTCTAACTTAACCAATGGTGTAAACAATTCCCGAAGAGATTGGGAATCTTTTTAAGACTTGAAGAGTTGAATGCAAATCCTTCAATGTAACGTAAATGATCACCGATGTAAGTCATTGAAAGTTTTGGTAACCGTGCAAATGTGTTATTGCGTATAGTTACGAGAGAAGTCTTATCAAGATATAGATTTCGCAAAAATGGTAAACACTGAAAAGAATATTCATCCAGATCATGAAGGTAATTTTGACGAAAGACAAGTTTCTTGATTTTTCCTGTTGACTGTCCGGTCGGTCCAGAAAAAGACGGTAATTTTCGCATGGCATTGTTTGCCAGATTTATATAGGATATTGAAGTAGATGCAATTGAAGTTCGAGATAACATAGTTCGATAAATCCAAATTTTGCAGAAAATGCAAACTAGAGAAATAACTTCCATATATATTCTCGATTAAATTGTCACTGAAGGACAACGTTTGAATTGAGGAATTATGTACTCCTGAGAACATGTCTTTCCGAATGGTCTTCCAGTCATTGGATTTTAACGAAAGAATTCGTATTCTAGGCGAATACTGTAGAATGTTTGATATTACATTCTGCCATAAGTCACCATTTCTGCTGATCTCCAAGGTAAACATGTTCGTTAGATTGGTGAATGCATCCGGGTCTATCATGTTAGTCAAAATATCGATGAAATGTAATCTTTCCACTTGGACTAAGGTCAGATTGAACAAAAACTTCCCCGTTATTTTCGGAAAGTTTGTCTTTGTAAATATTACAGTCGTGTATACGCCGGGAAAACCGGAACATAATACAAAGCACTTCCAGTACAGTTAACCAGCATCGTTTTAGGATAACACTTGCACATGGTCTCAGGACACCGATCTACATGATTGAAACTTTCATAGTGTTCCCAACTCAGGTAGAATACCAACAGCATCAAAGTCGTTCCTAAGCGTTGATACATGGTGATGACAATATTGGCCTGAAAGTAAAAATAGTCAATAATTATTATGAAAATTAATGTAATGATTACGTTTTTGATGTTGGAATAGAGCTGTGTGATTAGATAAGGATATTTCTCCACCCTTTAGAGATATATGCATTAATGCTTTTAAAAAAAGTTTAATGCCATGTAAATGAAATTGAGACATTAGCGCGTATTCACATACTGTTAATGGTTTTGTTTCTCGTCGCTTACGGTACCTGATAGAAAAAAAATAGGTAGGTAGGTAGGTAGGCCGGTATGTAGGTAGGTACAATTGAAGTAGGTAGGTAGGTAGGCAGGTCGGTAGGTAGGATGATAGGTAGGTAGGTACGTAGGTAGTAGGAAGGTAGGTTTGTGGGATGGTAAATAGGTACAATGTAGTTAGTTAGTTAGTTAGGTAAGTAGGTAGGTAGGCCGTTATGTAGGTAGGTACAATTGAAGTAGGTAGGTAGGTAGGCAGGTCGGTAGGTAGGATGATAGGTAGGTAGGTACAATGTAGTTAGTTAGGTACGTACGTAGGTAGTAGGATAGTAGGTTTGTAGGATGGTAGGTAGGTACAATGTAGTTAGTTAGGTAGGTAGGCAGGTATGTAGGTAGGTACAACTGAAGTAGGTAGGTAGTAGGAAGGTAGGTAGGTAGGATGGTAGGTAGTTAGGTAGAATGTAGTTAGGTAGGTAGGTAGGTAGGTACAATATAGGTAGGTACGATGTAGGAAGGTAGGTAGGCAGGTCGGTAGGTAGGATAATAGGTAGATAGGTACCATGTAGTTAGGTAGGTAGGTAGAATGTAGTTAGTTAGGTAGGTAAGTACAATGTAGGTAGGTACGATGTAGGAAGGTAGGTAGGCAGGTCGGTAGGTAGGATGATAGGTAGGTAGGTACAATGTAGTTAGGTAGGTAGGTAGGTAGGGTAGGTAGGTAGGTAGGTAGGTAGGTAGGTAGGTAGGTAGATGGTATGAAGATAGATACAATGTAGGTAGGTAGGTAGGTAGGTAGGTACAATGTATGTAGACACTGGGGTAGGTAGGTAGGTTGGTAGGTAGGTAGACTTTTGCAAAATTTAATGAAGTATTTATTCCGGTAGTTTCAAAAGTATTTCATGTTTTCCGTGATAAAGTAAAATTTCTATCCAGTTTGACAAAAGGTATTATTTCTTCACTATTCATTCTTTAATAAGAGCATGATTAATCAACAAGAGTTGTTTAAACTAAAAGCTACTAAACTGGTCTCAGCATTTTTGTATTATTACTCAAGTTCAAGATTTCTTTCATCAAAATTGTCAATATACATATTCACAAAATAAAATATATCCAGACAACGCTGACATTTTCAATAAAAAAAGACTAATAAATTGATAAGCTGAAAATAAATTTATTTGTATCAAAAGCAAACACTTTTTTGAATACGAAAAACAAAAGAGAAGTTAAACAATAAGAAAACAAAGAGATTTTATTCATGCGTGTCGTATATGATTACATACAATGTTCATAACCCTCGAAACAAAGTCCCAATAACGCTTTCAAAATGCAATGGGTTCAGCAACACTATCAATGGTGAGTGTGTAATTCATTTGCCCAAATAATGGCACAACATGGGATTGGCATGCTGCGAATCAGGAACCGTACAGCCATTTGGGAAATTCGAGGTCATTCCTGAATAGGAGCATCAGCAAGCTGCTGTCAGGTGGTCGAACATTATCATCATTACTAAGTCAGGGATGAAAGCACCTGCAAAGGGTCTTACATTTGGATGAAGGATTTCATCCCGGTTCCGTGAACCTGTGGAACTACCACCTTCAATCACGTACAAGTCAGTCCGACAATTATAACTGATCCCTACCCTAACTATTACCGAGTTCCCACCGAAACGGTCATGCTCAGCCACGCAGTCAGCACACCTCTCACCCACCCTATGCCAAACACATCTCCTGCCAACATGGCAGTTCACCCAAAAACTAGTCTCATCCGTTAAAAGAATAGGCCGTCACTGACGTAGTCGCCAATTCGCAAAGTCAGTTGCACAATGCTGTCGAGCTTCAAAGGCGTGCAGCGGTCTGTGAGTTGATTCCTCACTGTTTGTGCAGAAATTGTTCTCCCAGTTGTTTGACAGAAGTCGTTTTCTAACCTAGTGGAACTTGCAAACCGATTTCGCGTAGCAAGAGTGCTTAAATAATGGTCCAGACGGGCTGTCGTATACCGTTGTCTGCCCGATCGAGGTGTCTCAGTGACGTTTCCGATAATCTGGGATAAATAACATAATCGAGAAATGGCACTCTTAAGTTCGTTATTTGTGATTGATCTGCTTGCAGCATCCTGAATTCTAGGCCAGCCTCTGTAGCTGTCATGTGGCGTCTCATGTTAACAAATGTTTAAAACAGGATGCAAAATGACAGGACATTCAGAAGAAGCACACAATTTGTGGTTTGACATGATGTTCATTTCACACATAAAGCCACAATTGCCTTTTACACTGTTACATGATGTCTTATCGCAAGTTTAGTCTAGGCTCTTAGTTATTGTTATTGTGCCTACATTAGTGATAAAACAGTGCTCAAGGAGTGTCAGGCTTAATTTATTTCAATGATAGAAAAAAATCCTATTTATGTATGATCCTTAACTTTTTGTGTCCAGAATAATTTCATAATATATACATATACTTGCAAAAAGTCGTATGCAATACTGCTATTTTGAAAATAACCTAAGGTTTTGATAGTTTAAACAGAAATGTTTTCAAAATGTGTAGGAGTAGTGGGAAAAGGAAAATTTGAAAATATTCCTAAAAAAAGGAAAAGAAAAACTCTAATTCTTTATTCAGTGTGTGTAAATGAGTGTAAATGAATGTCTTAATACATCACGTGGTGTACTGTTTCTAAGAGATATTTGTATTAAAATGTTCGTGTACGCTGCTGACACTATTTTTTCCTCAGACTCAGCTTCTAGTTTACTTAAGATATCAAAATCTTAAAACTATGTACTGACACATGGTAATTTTCAGTTAACATAGAAGAAAAAACTGCAACTGTTGTAGTCCGTGTAGTCACATTTTTAAATATGACATAATTTTTTCACATTTTTTGCCGTGTATTTTCTTTATTGCTTATTTGGGCCTCAGCGTCAAGGATGAGTCATTGAAAGCCAAAACACTGTACTGTGATATTCTATATTGGCTCTACAGTATATAATTCTGAATTTGGTATTGAAAGGTGGTATTTACTCCTTCAATTATGGTGATATAAATGGTTCTGGTTATGCATTCTATAAATTGATTAAGCTATGAAAAACGGAGATATCATGCGGTGCGCGAAAGTTTTGGGGAAGCTACCTGCAAGCGTGCACAAATGTTGACCTGATTATAAATAGCACGTTCTTCTGTCAATACCCTGGTTGTAAAGCAACTGTCATCTTGACTGCCTTGTCTTGGCAGGTATTAATATTGATTTAAAAGATATCGCTAGGCAGATAGCTCCACACTCAACACACAACTACCATAGACGACCGTCGTCTTTATTCCAATAATTCGCATTTATCGTGATACACTGTCCAACTGGAAAAAAAAACTAGTGATCCTTACCTAAAGCCAGCAAAGGTGACATACCATTTCAATGGCATATTTTTTAATTTCGATATAGTGTCTGCCCTATCGCTATCACTTTATTTACATTGAGAACTAAATAATTCAATTGAAATAACATTGTGTATTATTAAATTTCTATTGAAATGTGCTATTCACAGGTGTATGTTTTAAACGTGGCTTTACATTGATGGCTGATGTATTAGATTTTTGAAGAAAACTTGCGACCGGGGTACTCCTGCACCATTTCTGCTGGCAATTCATAATAAATCGAACATTGGAACAGTACAGATCAGCTACACATAGTTTCTTTTCGAAGCGATTATCGATAGGGTAGGCTCATTGCTCTAATAATGCAAGGGCATTCGCAACGTCATGGAGCCAGGCAATATGGTGTACATGAGACAACAATATCTTGTTGGGCGTCTCAAAGCCACAGAAAGATTGGATGACCGTCTCAGGAGCGGACGCCCTCGCGTAACGTCGCGACGTCAAGATAGAGGCATACGCCTCTCGCCCCTCCGTAACTGATTTCAAACGGCGACGGAGACGGCATGCCAAATTGTTGGAACTCATGGTCGGCCATTCTGTCAAGGAACGGTTAAGAAAGGGTTACAGGAGTTTCATTGAAGGCCACGACGTCCCTGTGTTAGTTCGCCACTCACGCAGAGGCAACGCCAACATCGAATGCAGTGGCTACTTGCACATGCACCATATCAGCTTCGCTTGGCCCATTGGAGATGCGTCTTGTTTACGGACAAGTCTTGCTTCACATGGTACAGGTGAGATGGACGACAACGTGTCTATCGACGTCGTGGATTTTCTGACGCTTGAGTAATGGAAAGATCTCGTCCTTCCTCTTATCCATCATCGTAACTTTCCGTTGCTTCTGTACAACGCGAGGCCCCATTTTGCTGTGTGTCGTGACTATCTGACTCAAAACAACGTCCCAGTATTTGATTGGTCATCATACAGTCCAGATTTGTCCCCAGTAGCGCAGTTATGGGACGCGCGTCAACGTCTCATATGACATTGCTCAACTCGCGTGAGCCCTTATTCAGGAGTGGAATAATATCCCTCAAAGGACAATAAACACCTTGATGGGGTCAATGTTAAGGAGAGAAGAGAGAAAGAGCAGCGACTGAACCCAGGGGTGGACACACACACTACTGATTTGATCAGAAGACGGCGCAGGGTACCCTTGTTTTAACGCTTTTCACGCAAACGCCGTCTGTGATGGGACAACGAAAATCATCAAAACATATCCAGTAATAACGAAAAAATTGAGAAACCCAAACAATGGACTAATCAT